AATACAATAATAGTAGGGGACCTCAACACACCATTAACACCAATGGACAGAACATCCAGACAGAAAATCAACAAGGAAATAATAGAATTAAATGAAAAATTAGACCAGATGGACTTAATAGATATATATAGAACACTTCATCCAAAAACAGCAGGTTACACATTCTTCTCAAGTGCACATGGAACATTCTCAAGGATTGACCATATTTTGGGAACCAAAGCAAACATCAATAAATACAAGAGAGTTGAAATAATATCAAGCATCTTTTCTGATCATAACGCTATTAAACTAGAAATCAACTACAAGAAAAAAGCAGAGAAAGGTGCAAAAATGTGGAGACTAAACAACACGCTTCTCAACAAACAATGGATCATTGAAGAAATTAAAGAAGAAATCAAATATTATCTGGAGACAAATGAAAATGAGAACACGACATACCAAATCATTTGGGATGCAGCAAAAGCAGTCCTAAGAGGGAAATTCATCGCAATACAGGCTCACCTCACTAAACAAGAAAAAGCTCACGTAAGCAACCTCAAACGACACCTAACAGAACTAGAAAAAGAAGAACAAACAAGGCCCAGAGTCAGTAGAAGGAGGGAAATAATAAAAATAAGAGCAGAAATAAACGATATTGAAACAAAAAAGACAATAGAAAGGATCAATGAAACAAAGAGTTGGTTCTTCGAAAGAATTAACAAAATTGACAAACCCCTAGCCAGACTCACCAAGAAAAGAAGAGAGAAATCGCAAATTAATAAAATCAGGAATGACAGAGGAGAAATCACAACAGATACCAATGAAATACAAGAGATCATAAGAGAATACTATGAAAAACTATATGCCAACAAATTGAACAACCTGGAAGAAATGGACAAATTCCTAGACTCCTACAATCTCCCCAAACTGAATCAGGAAGAAATGGAGAATCTGAATAGACCAATCACAAGTAAGGAAATAGAAACGGCAATCAAAAACCTCCCCAAAAACAAGAGTCCAGGACCAGACGGCTTCTCTGGAGAATTCTACCAAACATTCAAAGAAGACTTAATACCTATTCTCCTCAAACTGTTCCAGAAAATTGAGAAAGATGGAGAACTCCCTAACACATTCTATGAAGCCAACATCACTCTGATCCCCAAACCTGACAAGGACAACACAAAGAAGGAGAACTACAGGCCGATATCACTGATGAACATAGATGCAAAAATCCTCAACAAAATTTTGGCAAACCGATTACAGCAATACATCAAAAAGATTATACACCATGATCAAGTGGGATTTATACCAGGGACACAGGGATGGTTCAACATCCGCAAGTCAATCAACGTGATACACTACATTAACAAAATGAAAACCAAAAACCACATGATCATCTCAATAGATGCAGAGAAAGCATTCGACAAGATCCAACACCCATTTATGATAAAAACCCTCAGTAAAATGGGTATAGAAGGAAAGTACCTCAACATAATAAAGGCCATATATGATAGACCCACAGCCAACATCATACTCAATGGACAAAAGCTGAAAGCCATCCCTCTGAGGACAGGAACAAGACAAGGGTGCCCACTTTCACCACTCCTATTCAACATAGTTCTGGAGGTGCTGGCCAGAGCAATTCGGCAGGAAAAAGAAATAAAAGGAATCCAAATAGGTAACGAAGAAGTAAAACTCTCGTTGTTTGCAGACGACATGATCTTATACATAGAAAACCCCAAAGAATCCACAGAAAAACTATTAGAAATAATCAACAACTACAGCAAAGTAGCAGGGTATAAAATTAACGTGCATAAATCAGTAGCATTTCTATACACTAACAATAAACTAACAGAAAAAGAACTCAAGAACTCTATCCCATTCACAATAGCAACGAAAAGAATAAAATACCTTGGGATAAACTTAACCAAGGAAGTGAAGGATCTATACAATGAAAACTACAAGACTCTCTTGAAAGAAATAGGCGATGACATAAAGAGATGGAAAGACATCCCTTGCACATGGATTGGAAGAATAAACATAGTTAAAATGTCCATACTACCTAAAGCAATATACAGATTCAATGCTATCCCAATCAGAATCCCAAGAACATTCTTCACAGACATTGAACAAACAATCCAAAAATTCATATGGGGCAACAAAAGACCGCGAATTGCTAAAGCAATCCTGAGCAAGAAAAACAAAGCCGGCGGAATCACAATCCCCGATTTCAAAACATACTACAAAGCTACAGTGATCAAAACAGCATGGTACTGGTACCAAAACAGGTCCACAGATCAATGGAACAGAATTGAAAGCCCAGAGATAAAACCACACATCTATGGACAGCTAATCTTCGACAAAGGAGCAGAGGGCCTACAATGGAGAAAAGAAAGTCTCTTCAACAAATGGTGCTGGGAAAACTGGACAGCCACATGCAAAAGATTGAAAATTGACCATTCTTTTTCACCACACACCAAAATAAACTCAAAATGGATCAAAGACCTAAAGATTAGGCCTGAGACAATAAGTCTTTTGGAAGAGAATATAGGCAGTACACTCTTTGACATCAGTTTCAAAAGAATCTTTTCGGACACTGTAACTCCTCAGTTGAGGGAAACAATAGAAAGAATAAACAAATGGGACTTCATCAGACTAAAGAGCTTCTTCAAGGCAAGGGAAAACAGGATTGAAACAAAAAAACAGCTCACTAATTGGGAAAAAATATTTACAAGCCACTTATCCGACAAAGGGTTAATCTCCATAATATACAAAGAACTCACACTGCTTAACAACAAAAAAACAAACAACCCGATCAAAAAATGGGCAGAGGACATGAACAGACATTTCTCAAAAGAAGATATGAATATGGCCAATAGACACATGAAAAGATGTTCATCATCGCTAATCATCAGGGAAATGCAAATCAAAACTACACTAAGATATCACCTTACCCCCGTTAGATTGGCAAAAACATCCAAAACCAAGAACGACAAATGTTGGAGAGGTTGTGGAGAAAGAGGAACCCTCATACACTGTTGGTGGGAATGCAAACTGGTACAGCCACTATGGAAAACAGTATGGAGATTTCTCAAAAAGTTAAAAATAGAAATACCCTATGACCCAGCCATCCCATTACTGGGTATCTATCCTAAGAACCTGATATCAGATATCTCAAGAGTCCGTTGCACCCCTATGTTCATTGCAGCATTATTTACAATAGCCAAGACGTGGAACCAGCCTACATGCCCAGAAACTAATGATTGGATAAAGAAGATGTGGTATATATACACAATGGAATACTACTCAGCCATAAAAAAAGACGAAATTGGCCCATTCACAACAATGTGGATGGACCTCGAGGGTATTATGTTAAGCGAAATAAGTCAGTCAGAGAAAGACGAACTCTATATGACTCCACTCATAGGTGGAAATTAGTATATTGAGAAGGAGATCTGATTGGTGGTTACCAGGGAAAAGGGGGGGTGGGGGGAGGGTACGGAGGGGGAAGTGGTGTACCCACAACATGACTAACAAAAATGTACAACTGAAATCTCACAAGGTTGTAATCTATCATAACATTAATAAAAAAAAATAAATATAAAAAAAAAAAAAAAAAAAAAAAAGCTATATTATCTTATTGGGAAGAATATAGGAATAAGTGATAATTTTAAGATTCCTTCCAAATCTAAGATTCTATTGCTATTTAGAATTACTATTCTGACTTCATCAAATTATTGGCTTAAAAAATATTACACCACGAGTGGATAAAGCAACCAGTCTATCATCTATAAAGTTTATACTTTCCTCATTCCTGTCAGAAGAAAGTTTTTAAAATGTGACACAATGAATTTTGTTTGGGTAAGAGATTAATATATATACATTAACTGTTACCCAAGCAAAAAGTCCTGCCCTAATATGCATATAGCTCTGGCAATATGTTAAATATATACAAAAATATTATATGCTATACTATCTAATATTTATATATTATAATTATATAATATACTTGTATATAACAGTTATAACTATACATAACAATATTACACGCATATAGTGGTAGCATCAGAGGATGAAATTGTTCTTATAGAGGTATGTGATAAACACTGATTGTATAATTTATTTTAATTAGTTTAAGTAAAAAAATTCAGGCACATACCTACATGTATGTGTATATGTGTATGTGTATGTGTACATACATGTGTATGTATACTTATATTTTATGATTTATTCTAACACTAATTGCTGATAAAGGTAATTATAAAGTTAATTAATAGGTAGTTTAAAATCTTTCAAAACAGTTAAAAACAGAAGTTTTTCAAGTAATCTCATTTTATAAGTAGCATTACAAAATTAACTATTTTGATATAGAGAGAGTATTTGACAAATTAAAACTATTTAGAATATAATAAAAGGTCAAAATTGGGTTTCTCATTTATTGTTTATTATAACAATAATTAATATTATTTAACACATGCCTAGGGTTGTTAGAAGGAAGCAACGAATGAATGCACTATCCTTGTTAAAAACTGAAACAAGGTTACTCTTTGAGAACGCTCTCCCCAACCCTGTGAAAATCCTGACTCTACCAGTTAACGATTCCTAGTTTGGTGTATATAATTTCAGATAGTTTCAATACACAAACAGATGTACCTACAAAAAACATATTGTTGTCATTTTGGCATATTAATGATAAACATAAATGGTGCTATTCTGAATAACTAATGACATTTCTTTTTTTTTTTTTTTTTTAAAGATTTTATTTTTTCCTTTTTCTCCCCAAAGCCCCCCGGTACATAGTTGTGTATTCTTCGTTGTGGGTTCTTCTAGTTGTGGCATGTGGGACGCTGCCTCAGCGTGGTCTGATGAGCAGTGCCATGTCGGCGCCCAGGATTCGAAGTAACGAAACACTGGGCCGCCTGCAGCGGAGCACGCGAACTTAACCACTCGGCCACGGGGCCAGCCCCAAGAATAACTAATGACATTTCTATAATGTTAAATTAAAAATTGAATATACTTGCCTGACCAGGGTAATATCCATATCCTTCTGCATAAGTTCAGTTTCTTTATTATTCAACTGTAATGATAGAGCATTATATTTACTCTGTGATACTTCAATTTCTTTCCTTGCTTCGATTAGACTGTCTTCAAAGGCCTAAAATTAGAGCACTTATATCACAATCAAATATAATAAATAGCAAATAAATAAAAATAGAAAGTCTGCTATATTTAACCAACCTGTCTAAAAAATGACAGTGAAAAATTAGTAGATTTTTATATTTTATTTGTTTGTTTTCACTCAATTAAAAAAATTTTAGTACAAACAATACCTTTTATACTAGCCACAGGTTATTTTTTTCAGAAACTGAAAAGCATCATGGGTTCCTCAAGTGAAAGCTAAGAATTTGAAGCAAATAAACTTGAAAATCTATATAGAAATTTACTTATTAAAATTACAATGAAGAAACCATTGTATAACAAAAAAATTGTCAATTACATGAACAAAAAATTTACTTAAAAATTAGTCAGGACAAATAGCAGATATTTCATTATTTCCTCTATTTTAAATGCACACACACAGATAAACTCAGAGAAAAAAGGACAGTACCAAAAGATATTGAAATACTTTTACAATGTTTGATATTCAGATCATGCTGAGTTTCCTTGATTGTGGTGAAATTTCACCTACACTTCCTCAAAATTGTCTTTTTCCTTCTGATAATTCTCTAAATCTTTTTTCATTTTGAAACAACTTAAAAATTGATGTCATATTTTTTCAAAAGCATATTTTCTAAAAAATAAATTAGAAAATTAATTGTAAGTATTTTCATAAAGTATTAAATAAATATTATAACTAAAAATAGAGTATACCCACACAAACACAATATGTTCATTATTTCTAAAAGTGAGCACCATGCTTAGATCAAGCTCTAGAAATCTACTCTAGCCACGCTCCCATACTTCATATAGTCACCCTGTAATAAACAGTGATCTTTTAAAGATAAAAATATTGGCTTTCAGCCAAGATAGTACTGTGAATGCTTCCTAAATTCCCATTTATTACAAGAAGATCAATGATAGATATACACATAGGTAGGTAGGTGGGTGGATGGAATAAAAGAAGAAGGAAGGAGGGAAGGAAGGGAGGGAGGAAGGAAGGAGGGAAGGGAGGAAAACTTAAGTGTTGGCAGGGATGTGGAGAAGTTGGAATGCTTGCGCAATGTTGGTGGGACTGTAAAATGGTGTAACCCCTATGGAAAACAGTATGGGGGTTCCTTAAAACATTAAAAATAGAACTACCATATAATCCAGCAATCCCACTTCTGGGTACATATTCAAATGAATGAAAAGTGGGGTCTTGAAGAGATATTTACACAACCATGTGTATAGCAGTACTATTCACAATGGCCAAGAGGTGGAAGCAACCCAAACATCAAATGAATAGATAAACAAAATGTGGTATATACATACAATGGAACACAACACAGCCTTAAAAAGAAAGGAAATCTGTCACATCTACAATATGGAGGAAGCTTGAAGACACTATGCTAAATGAATAAACCAGTCACAAAAGAACAATTACCATATGATTCCACTTATGGTAGGAATAAATAGTCAAATTCATAGATACATGAAGTAGAATGGTGGTTATCAAGAGCTAGGGTGAAGGAGCAATGAGGAGCTATTATTAATAAGCTTAGAGTTGCAGTTCTGCAAGTCGATAAAGTCCTGGAGATCTCTTTCACAGCATTGTAAATATACTTAACATTTATGTAAGTATACTTAACAAGTGTACTGAACTGTACACTTAAAAATGGTTAAGATTGAAAATTTTATGTTACGTGTATTTTACCACATTAAAAAAAAAAATACTAAACCCACAAAGAGACCCAGATTCAATTAGATCAGACTGTGGAGCAATTTGTGTCCCAGGACATTGTCAAAAACAATTAGAGGAGGCTGGCCCAGTAGCATAGTGGTTGGGTTTGCACACTCCGCTTCAGCAGCCTAGGGTTCGCAGGTTTGGATCCCAGGTGCAGACCTACACATCATTCATTAAGCCATGCTGTGGCAGTGTCCCACACACAAAAAAATAAAGGAAGATTGGCACAGGTGTTAGCTCATGGCGAACCTTCCTCAAGCAAAAGGAGGGCAATTAGCAACAGATGTTAGCTCAGAGTCAATCTTCCTCACCAAAAAAAAAGAAAAATTAAAAAACCAGCCAGCAATTTTTGGAGGCCAACAGCTGAGTGTGATACCAATAGTGACAGACATATTAATATATCAAGAGAAGAGACAGTGAAGGAGACCCAGCTAAAATCACACTAGTCTCAGAGTGAATGTGCACATGTCCAAGTCTGTGCTCTCTGAAAAGCAAAATCAGAGGCCATACATTGCAGGGCAAACAGACTTTATTCAAACAGTCTAGCCAAACCACTAAACAAACAAATGAGCAAACATCAAGAAGCCCTGGGGATGGGGCCAGAAGGAATCAGTATCCAAAACTGCTACAATATATAATTGTAAATGTCTACTTTTCAACAAAAAATTACAACAATCAAAGAGAAAGGAAAGTGTCATCACACAGAAGAAAGAAAGCAGACAATAGAAACTGCCCATGAGAGAGTCCTGATGTCAGACTTCACAAAGACTTCAAAATAGCCATTATAAATATATTCAACCAAATAAAAAAACAATGCTTTAAAAAGTACCATATGTTAAAAAAAAAAAAAGGTAAAACGACAAGGTCTCATTCAATAGAAAATACCAATAAAGTGATACAAATTATTCTAAAACATCCAAATGTAAATTCTGGTGCTAAAAAAGCATAATAATTAAAATTTTTAAAAAAACCTCAATAGAGGAGCTCACATTTAATAAGAAGTGACAGAAATAAGAGCAAAAAACTTGAAGAGAAATCAAGAAAAAAAATGACAAAAAAATTAATAGCCCAAGAGAAATATGGGTCATCATTAAAGGCACTAACAAGCATAATGGGACTACCAAAAAGGGGAAGCAAGAGAATAATGAACAGAAAAAGTATTTGAAAAAATGACTGAAAACTATCCAACAATGGTGAAAAACATTAATCTACACATCCAAGAAGCTCAACAAACTCCAAGTAGTATACACACAGAGATCCACTAATAGAAATATCATAGTAAAAATGCTGAAAGCCAAAGATAAGGATAAATTCTTAGAAATCACAAGAGAAAAACAACTCATCATTTTCAAGAGATCTCAATAAGATTAACAACTGAATTTTCTTCAAAAATAATGGAGGCTAGAGACAGTGAAATAACATTCAAAGTGCTCATAGAAAAAGCTGCCAAGGTAGAATCCTATATCTAATAAAGCTATCATTTAAAAATGAAGGCTATGAGCGACCAAAAGAGAGCTGGGATGGCTATAATACTGGACAAAATAGACTTTAGGTCAAAAACTGTTCAAGAAACAAAAGAGGGCATTAAAGAGTCAATTCATCAAGAAGATGTAACAGGTATAAACATACATTCACCAAACAATAGAGCCCTAAAATATATAAAGTAAATACTTACAGAATTGAAAGGAAAAAGAGACAGTTCCACAATAATAGCTGGAGAATTCAACACTTTAAAAATGAGTTGAATATTTAGAGAGAAGTCAATAAGGATACAGAGTGCCTGAACAACACTATAAACCAACAGATATACATGGAACACTCTGCAAAAACAGCAAAATACAAATTTTTCTCAAGTACACATGGAACACTCCCCTTATCTGACCACATGTTAGGCCTTAATACAACTCTCAATAAACTTAAAAACATTAAAATCATACAAAGTATCTTCTCCAACCACAGTGAAATGGAGCTAGAACTCAATAACAGAAGGAAAACTAAAAAAAATTTAGAATATGTTGAAATTAAACAATACATTCTTAAACAACCCAGAGATCAAGGAAGAATTCACAAGAGAATTAGAAAATATTCAGAGATGAAGGAAAACACAAAGACAATATACCAAAACCTACAGGATGCAGCAAAGGGAGTGCCCAGAGGAAAATTTATAGCTGCAAATGCTACCTTAAAAAAGAACACATAGGGGCCAGCCCCGTGACCGAGTGGTTGAGTTTGTGTGCTCTGCTTCGGCGGCCCAGGGTTTCACTGGTTTGGGTCCTAGGTGCGGACATGGCACTGCTTGTCAGGTCACGCTGAGGCGGTGTTCCCACATGCCACAGCTGGAAGGATCCACAACTAAAATATAGAACTATGTACTGGAGGGATGGGGGATTTGGGGAGAAAAAGCCAAAAAAAAAAAAAGATTGGCAACAGTTGTTAGCTCAGGTGCCAATCTTTGAAGAAAAAACACACATAACGCAAATCAATAATCTAATTTTATACCATGAAGAAACTGACAAAGAACAGCAAAGTAAATCCAAAGAGCGAAAAAAGAAAGAAAGAATAAAGATTAGTGGGGAAATTTTTTAAAAGGGGAAGAGCAAAACAAAAAGGAGAATCAGTTAAACCAAAAGTTGACTCTTCGAAAAGAGTAACAAAATTAATGAATCTTTAGCTAGACAGACAAAGGAAAAAAATCAAGATGTAAATAACTAAAATCAGAAATGAAAGTAAGGACACTACTACTAACCATACAGAAATAAAATGGATTACTACAGAAAAATATAAACAATTGCACACCAACAAATTACATAACCTAGATGAAATGAACAAATTCCTAGAAACACACAAATTACCTAAACTGACTCAAGAAAAAACAGAAAATCATAACAGAGCTATAATAAGTGAAGAAGTTTAATCAGTTCTCAAAAGCTCCCAACATAAAAAATTCCAGTATCAAACGGCTTAATTGTCGAATTCTACTGAACATTTTAAAAGAATTAATACCAATCCTTCTCAAACTCTTCCAAAAAACATAAAAGGAGGGAACTCTTCCTAACTTATCACATAAGGCCAGCATTATCCTAACACCAAAGCTAGATAAAGATAAAAATATCCCAGCAATGTAAGGTTGGTTTAATATCCAAAAATCAGGTCATGTTATCCATATCAACAGAATGAAAGACAAAAACCACATGATCATTTCAATAGATGCAGAAAAAGCATTTGCCAAAATCCAATACACCCTCATGATAAAAAAAAAAAAAACACTCAACAAACTAGGAATAGAAGGTAACTTCCTCAATCTGATAAAGCACATCAACAAAAAACTCATAGATAACTTCACACTTAACAGTCAAAGAGTGAATCCTTTCCCCCTGAGATCAGGAACAAGACATAGATGTCCACTCCTTCTTTTTCTATTCAACTTTGTACTACAGGTTCTAGCCAGGAAAATAGGCACTAAAATAAGAAAAACGGCATCCAGACTGGAAAGGAAAAAGTAAAGCTATGTCTACTTGCAGATGACATGATCTTACAAATAGAAAATCCTAAGGAATCAACCTGTTCAGCAAGGTCACAGGATACAAGATCAACACACAAAAATTAATTGTGTATCTTTGCATTAGGAATGAACCATCCAAAAAGGAAATTAAAAAAACAATTCCACTTAGAATAACATTAAAAAGATAATTACATATTTTAGGAATATATTTACCAAAAAAAAGTACAAAGTTATATTCTGAAAACTACGAAACACTGTTGAAATAAATTAAAGGAGACCTAAATAAATGGAACATCCCATGTTGATGCATTAGAGGGTATAATGTTGCTAAGATGGTAATGTTCCTCAAATTGATCTTCTGATTCAATGCAACCTCTATCAAAATATGTTGCTTGCTTTTTTTTGCAAGAAATGGAAAATTTCTTGCTGATTTTAAAATTCACATGGAATTCATATGGAAATATAAGAGACCCAGAATAACCAATCTTGAAAAAGAAAAATAACTTTTAAGGGCACACACATCCCAATTGCAAAACTTACTACAAATCTACAATAATCAAGACAGTGTTGCATAGGCATAAGGATAAATGTATAGATCAAAGGAACAGAATTGAGGTCCTGAAATAAACCCCTATATTTATAGTCAACTGATATTCAACAAAGATGCCAAGACAAATTCAGGGGGGAAAGAATAGACTTTTTCAACAAATGGTGCTGGGACAACTGAATAACACTTGCAAAATAATGAAGTTGGATTCCTATCAAACACCATATTCAAAAATTAACTCAAAATGGTTCAAAGAACTAAATGTAAGATATAAAACTGTAAAACTCTCTGAAGAAAACATAGGTGTCCATTTTCATGATCTTGGATTAGGCAGTGGTTTCTCAGATATGACACCAAAAGCATGGGCAACAAAAGAAAAAGTAGACAAATATCATCAAAACTTAAAACTTTTGTGGTTCAAATAATACCATTAAGGAAACAAACACTCAGAGAACTGAAGAAAATAGTTTGAAATTATATAGCAGAAAAGAGATTTGTATCCACAATATATGCAAAAGAAATGAATACATATTTATGTCTTCAACAATATACAAATGATCAATAACACATGAAAAAATGCTCAACATCATTAGCCATCAGGGAATCTTAAATCAAAATCACAATGAGATACCACTTCACATCCGTAAGGATGGCTATAGCCAAAAAGACAGGCAATAACAAGTGTTGACAAGGACAAAGAGAAATCAGAACACTCATACACAGCTGCTGGAAACATAAAATGGTGCAGCTGCTTTTGAAAACAGTCTGACAGTTCCTCAAAAGCTTAAAAACGGAATTACCATATGACCCAGTGATCTCACTCCTTGGTATGTACCTAAGAGAAACGAAAATACATGTATGTATACACAAAATCTTGCACACAAATGTTCATAGCAGTATTATTCATAACACAAATATCCATTTACTGGTGATAAATTAATAAAATGTAAGATACCTACATAATGGAATATAGTTGAACAATAAAAAGGAATGAAGTACAGACACATGCTACAACATGGACAAACCCTGAAAACACCCTTTTAAGTGGAAGAAGTCAGTCACAAAAAACCATACACTGTGATTTCATGTATATGAAATGTTTAGAATAGAGAGTTATAGAGAAAGAAAGTAGATCGGCGGTTATCTAGGGCTGCAGAGTGAAGGGTAAAGGAAGAGTGACTGCTAAAGGTTGCAGGATTTCTTTGGGGGGTGATAAAAATGTTCTAAAAGTAATTGCAGTAATAGTTGCACAACTCTGCATAAACTAAAAACTACTGAACTGCACATTTTAAATGGACTAAGTGTACGGTATGTTAATCATATGCCAATTAATATTCTAGAAGGTGAAAAGTTTTCTTATTGACAGACAATGTAATTACGTAACTTAGAAAAATCTAGAAATATACAAATTATTTATCATAACACACTTTTTTAAAGTAATATTTGTGACTAGGAATAAATCTAACAAAGGTGGACAATGCCATTTTAAGAAAGTTACAAAACCTTATTCCACATTCATGAATGGTAGGATCACAATTCTCCCAAAATTAATTCTAAATTAAGTGTGGTTCCAATCTGCTTTCTAACAGAATTTTTCAGTATAACCAATAAAATGATTCAAATATTATAAAATAGTGAAGAGGCAAATATAGTGCTCATGACTTACAAAAAGATGAATAAAGAGGTAGACTTCCCTACCAAATAATGAGTTAAATTATAAAACTACAATATCTAAAACCATGAAAATAATAGGAAGTCCAGAAACAAATTCATACACACTGAAACTTGGAGATGTGAGAGAGATAGTATCACAAATTAATAAACTATTAACTAAACGGTGTGGAACACTATATCCAAAAATGAATTCTAAATGGATTAAAGACTTTGGGGTAGGGAAAATTATAGCATCTAAGACTCCTAAAGGAAAAACATTGGAGAGGAAAATAATAACATCGACTCTATCAAAAGTTACAAACTTTTGAAAGTCCCATTCACCTTATTCAAGATTTATAGAACGGAAAGCATTTGTAATACATATAACAAAATATTAATATCCAGAAGAAATAAAGAATGCCTACAAATTAATAAGAAAAGACAAGCACCCCAAGATAAAAAAATCACAGAACTAAAAATCCCAGTAAATCACAAAATGGATGATTTGAATGGCAAATAAGGAAATCAAAATTATCATCAATCATATAGCCATGAATTAACACAAGAAAGTACCACCACTTAACCCTTATCACATTACCAAACTGCTTAAAGGTTGTAGGGAAGCAGAAGCTAATATAAAAATTAAGATAACAAATGCACCAGAATTCAATTCTCTCAATGGCCCAGTCATTCCCTGATTATGCACTAATAGATTTAATACATTTCCTTAAATATCTGCAATAAATTGATTCAGACACTCAGAAAGACACATCCTTTCCCCTCTAACTTAAATAATCATGCACACACATATGCACATACATACACACACATATCCATATTCACTATATTTTAATAGCTATATTTATATATACATGTGTGTACTTATGTTATATATTCTTTTATGTGCATATACACAAAGGGATTATTATATTTACTAGCACTAACACTTGTTTCTGGCTTTTTCAACAAAATCTATGGTAAAAGAGAAACCTGAAATTAGATGAGAAAAAAAATGAACAAAAACTTTCTTTAGACAAAGAGAAAGCCACAAACAAGTATTATTTTGAAAACTACTGGTCAAAAAGAATATAAAAATATTATAAAGATTATACATTTTATTTCTATAAAAATAGAACTTTAGTATGAATAAGGCCCTTGTAAGCCAAAGAAAAGCACCATCTTCAAAATACATATGAGTATTTCTTGACTGCTTTGTGATTTTTTTTACATTTTATTTTTTAAAGGACCTAGAAAATAGTCTTAAAACTATATTGCAATGAATTTTAGCTATATTTATAAATTTAAACCCTAACTGAAAAAAGTCAAAACTCACGTTCTAAATATGTTTTTTCAAAACATGTTTTATTTCAAAATGCAATAGCCTTTATTTTTTAATGATTACATTTTAGATAACTATTTGAAGTCAGTTTCCTGCTTTGCAACATCAATTTTTAAAAAGCTGTGGGTCTTAAGTGAAGGAATATAAATTAATGCTTGTCCCCACTGGTGGATTTGAATATATAACTTGTTATTTAAAGAAAACAGCATAATAAACTTCCTATAAGAAGTTAGATCCAAAATAACAGCGTAGATTCCATTCTCACCCCATACCTTTATTTTCGCATCAACGCTATATTTTTCTTTCCTCCAATGTGCTTCCTCCTTCCTCAGTTTCTCCAGGTCATTTAGCAGGTCAGCGCAGCGGGTACTTAATTTCTCATTTTCCTCCTCCAGATCTTTTATAACCATTCTGTTTTGCTCTTCCTTATTCTGTACACACTCCTTAGTGTCCTGTAGAACAGTACCACAAGGGCCGATAAACAAAACAAAAAAAAAGGTGAGAACTAATCAGCAAATACAAACTGTGCAGTTTTACCCTCACAGCAGCTTCTTCTATATTTGATGGCCAAGGTCACCTGTATACTTTTATTGGCCTCTTTTCATGCAGGTGGATGGGTCATATTTTTCCACTGGATGACAGCTTTGATGAGTACACATTTTCAAAGAGCCCATTAATTGATCAAGCTGCCTTTGATGCTGTCCCCAGCTATTTTTGAGACCCACACAGACATATCCTCCCAGACCTGGGTTTTATCAATTAATAATGCCAGTCCCATCAGAATCTAATTACAAGAAGCCACATATTCACACTCCTACTTTCTTAGCTCCATTTCCATCATTAACTATTTATCTGAAAGTTATAAAGCTTGGAGTCTTAGCTTTAAAGCATCTTTCTCAGAGTTTTTGCATGTGAGAAAACTGTATGGTACAGCAGGGCCTAAGGCAATTTTTTCTCCAAGCTTGTCACTTTCTGTGCCACAAAGGCTGACAAAGCTTTAAGTAGATCTTCAAAGCAATAGTATTGTAAAACTATGTATAAGTCAACACACCTTAATTTCTTGACTTTTATCTTTATATTTCTTCTGCAAGTCACTGAATTCTTTCCTTAAGAAAGCATTTTCTTCATCTACTGTAATCTTCCGTTTTACAAGGTCATTTATTTCTTGTTTTAATTCTGATTCTCTCTATGGAAAAAAATAAACATTATTGGTGAGCTGGTATTTCTAAGAAAAAATTATTTTACTTAAAAAGTTTTAGATTTTGATTGATAATGTTAGGATTGATTAGCTTCATAATAATGTCTATTATCACAATTCTCATTTCCAGTGACATGTCCATAGATTGTCAAGTAAGCTGTGTAAGTATGGTATCTATTTATTAGTTTATGATAAAGAACACATAAAAACTGGATACCAAATATTAAGCCACAATCAGAAAACAAACTTTTGGGATTTCGTGTGTAACAGGAGAAAAACAAAATTTTACAAAAACATTCTAATTAAAGAAAATGCATATGTAGGTAAAATAAGAATGACCTTCTTATTTGAGTATCATTTGGAAGAAAACATTTTTTAGAGAAACAATTATGGTTTTGTGAAGGCATAAATAATTTTAAAGAATGAAAATGGCAAGTTTGTTCTGGTACCAAAACTATCTTGCTCTGTAGAAAGAATATTCAAAATTCAGATGCACCATAATTTTTAACTGAATATTCTTCTCACCTGCCAGAGATACCTAAATGATACCTAATTGGAGGATTCCATGACTCAATTCTTAGTTTCTCTCTTCTCTCTTTACAACTTTTCTCTCAGAAAATGTACCTACTCCCTTGGCTTCTGGTCTCACCTCTGTCTGAAAGACTGCCCAATCCATAATCCAGCCCTGACTCTCTCCGACTCCCCAATCCCACATTTCCATGTTTCTATACAATACTTTCACTTGGATTATCTCCAACTAACAGGCTAAAACTGAAATCCATATCCTGATACTATCTTCTTTCTAAACTTCTTCAACATTTGTCAACCCTTCCATTTTTTCAGGTAATATTTAAGCACCCACTATCTGGCCTTGCATGCTTTTTTAAAGCTTTGAAATCATTCTCAACAGCACCCTTCCACCAAGCCCCATCTGCCTGTCAACCAAGAAGCAAACATATCAAGATATAAACATACTGCTCATTTATTAAGTAACATGCCCAGCAGAAACCCCTGACCTTTATTCCATCTCTGATCTATCACTGATGCTCAACTGATCCCTAAATATCGATTTCTTTTGTACTCCTACATTTACTCCTTATCAAACACTCTCCAAAGGACTCGAGAATGAACCAAAACTTAGGGCAAGATGCAGGGATAGGATGAAAAATAGGGTGAGTTTAAGGAATAAAGTGAGAGTATCACCTATATTCTAATTTTTTTAAGTTATAATGTTAATTGTTGATCATCTTTTATTTCTACTTTAAAATGTTTTAAACACTGAATACATATAAAAATAATCTGCAATAAGTGATTAAGGTGTAAAGAAACAATAAAAAGAGCAGACCAACAACCACACAACTAAGAAACACAACTTTACCATTAACTTTGAAGCCCGTGTATGTCCTCTGGTCCTCTAACACCTCCTACACCCTCCAGGGGGAAGCCCTGTCCTGAAACTTTGGTTCTTATCCTTCTTAGGATTTTCCTAACAGTTTGAAGACATATATAGCCCTATTTAATATATTGTACAGTTTAGCTTATTTTTGAACTTTACATCAATTAAACCATACTACAAGTAATCTGTAGGTTGCTTTTTCTGCTCAATGTATGTTCCCAAATTCATCCATATTGATAGGTGTAACTGGTTCAATTACCTTGGTGTATAGTATTATTCTATTATACAACTATAGTGTAATATATTTATCCATCTCTTGTCACTGTATACTTCAACTGCTTCCCATTTGGAGGAAAGGGATATACAAGCAATGCTGCTATGAACACTTTTAAGCATTTCTCTTGATACAGATGAGCAAGAATTTCTCCCAAGCAGCATTCTTCAAACTACAGACTAAAATCTAGTAGTGGGTCATTAAATCAATTGAGTCATCACAATCAGTATTTTTAAAAAGTGGAATAAAATACAACAGGAAATATCAAAGTGATATGCACAAATTCCTAGCAAAAAACTAAGCCCATGAGAGCAAACTTATGAAAGAAGCAAATACACCATGTTAAATATCTCCGAAATTTTTTTACAGTGTTTAATTTTGAATTTCTATTTTATTTAAATATTATTAAAGTCATATTTGATATATACTTTGTTATATTTTTACCTTTATTATACATAGTAAGGACAGCTATTATAGGAAATTTTATTTCATGTGTGTGTATACTGAGTCATGAAATAAAATGTATTTTTTGCAATGTGCAGATCATATTAATAAAAGTATGGAAAATATTGCTTTAAACTATACATACTTAAGGGTGAAATGCTAAGTCGTAGGCTATGCACCTCAAGAGTTCTCACAGATCCATATATGTACCAACACTTGACTCTCAAGCTTGGTGATTTTTTACAAACCCAGTGGGTATAAATGGCACCTCAATATAATTTTAATATTTATTTCCTATTTTAATTATTAGGGCATGTTACAATGTATCTGACATCAAACAACATAAAAACAGATGCATAAGTATGGCCCATCCACAATTCATAGCCCATTTTTCTATTTCCATCTAAATCTTATCCTCCTTCAAGATTTGACTTCCAACTCCTCCATGAAGCCTTCCCCAACTATCACAGTGATGTCTGCCATTTCTAAATTTCAGTATTGCTTATATTATTCATTTGACACATAATATACGATCTAGTCTTGCTAATTATCTACATACTCATACTGTCTCCCAAATCAGAGTAGTAAATGTTTATGAATGAGATTGACACTGAATGATAAATTCAACCATGTGAATAATTACACTGTTTATAAACTATCTACAGCTTATTCTTTGAAAGAACTAACAAAACTTGAGCATCCTCCTCTATTCTGGAGATCATTTAGACTATAGGAAGGATAAAACACTGAACCAAATGATTTAAGTTTTAGAAGGGTTTGCCCATTAATGTGACCTAAACTTAACAGGAACTAACAATATAAACAACACCAATGGCAAGCCCTTTCATGAGAATTACTTAATAATTTACATTTTGGCATTTGAGTGAATTTAGCAATCCACGAGGAAAATAAAGACAATTTTTAAATAAAAAAACTAACACAGTGGCAAAACTATCATATTCTGATAATTAGTCTCATAAATTTGACATTATATCGCATAATCATTAAAGTAATAAGTTAGACAAAGATGTACTCCCAATACAACAGGATTGATAAATTAAACCTTCAAAGATTTGTAAAATTTTGCATAAATCAAAATGTTTGATTTATTAGTTTCCTAATAAAATATACCCTCAATTATCTACTTTAAATAATGAAAGCACAAGTATATACAGTTACAGTTCATTTTAAAATTTAGCTCTATGAAACTTTTTCACAAACTTTTCTGGATAGAGCATAGTACATTCTTAATGGTCTGGCTCGAGTTAATATTAAAACAGCAAACAGAACTCAGAGGAACCATAAGGCATAAAGGGTGACAAGAGAAAGTATGTCTGGAACAAATAATTTATTATGGATAAGCCATGAAATGAAAAATTCATATCATAGTCAAGAGAAGTCTATAGAGTAAGAAGAGAATGATATTGAGTATGAAACAGGAAAAAGGGGGGGACAGCAGTGTAAGGCCTAAAACTCTATCAGATAATACTTGAGTATAGTTAATGCATTATTTATGTGACCTACTTTCAAATGGACATGAAAGTTTTAACAAAAAACAGAGAAGTAATGAAACCACAACAACTCAAACAATGGTAAATGGTCAAAGGAGGAAGGGTAAGAGAACTAATTGTAATTGAGAACCAAAACTTATTTCTGAGCTTCTGAGAAGGTAAGGAAACAGGGAAATATAATGTTAAATAGCCATCATTATTTAATTAAATGAATATACTAGGTTATTACCAGAGTCACGTTATATAGTGCAATACTAAAAGGGGAATTTACTATATGACTTATTCTATAGCTAACAATGACAAAGCTAAAGTATAGTCTTACCAAAAGAAGTTATATGCCAACTTTTTACACTATTATCAACAAAATAGAAGTTACAATATTAGACTGCACTTCCATAAAAGTTTTTCTGCAACTAGCTAAAATTGAGTGTGTGTGTGTGTAACTTTTTAATAATTTGACTAGATACATAGTTAAAACAAACTGAAGGTAGTGTCATTCTTAATTGTTACTCTATTCCATAGGATACAAGTTTTGAAAATTAAGAGCTATTTAATATTATTCAGTGGAACAACAAAAACACAATGAAGGGACATCTGGCTTCTGTTCCAGCACGTAAGGAACTTGGAAGTCATCTCTGCTGTTCACACAACATGAAAAAGGCTGAACAAACTGAAAATCAACAATTCCTCTTAGATCCATCAGAAAACTGAGGTCACAAGGCAAACTGCTGTTCCCAAAACTGGAGAGAGAAACAGGCAGATACAGAGGATCACAGTTTACCGGAGCAGAAACCCAGGAGCAGAAATCTCCATAGGAAGCAGTATGGGGTAGAAAAACCTAATCTCTAAGTAATCAATTGCTAGAGGATCGGTGTGGACAAGTTTGAGAGTTAAAAAGTCCAGGAGGGCCCAGTCTTAGGGGTGCTTCCACACTTTCATGGGGTTTAGATACAGAAACCTTGTCAGGTTGTCACAGTGAAGATCAGAGAAAAATCCCTTCCTGCTTCCTTCAGGGGAGAGGAAAAGCAGTCATTTTAAAACATAGTCATGCGCTACATAAGGACATTTCAGTCAATGACAGATGCATATACGATGGTGGTCCCATGAGATTAGCACCATACAGCCTAGATTTGTAGTCGGCTATACCATCTAGGTTTGTGTAAGTACACTCTACAATGTCTGCACAATGACAAAATCGCAGAACGATGCATTTCTCAGAACATATTTCCATCATTACGCAACGCATGACTGTATGCCTAAAGTATACATTTCTTCTTAACAAGGCCTGCCCTCAAGATAAACTATTTTACCAGAGTCTACCAGGGTTTTAACAGAGACTAACCAACCTGGAGGAAGGGAAATA